ATGATGTAAGATACAGTTAATTCCTTGAGATTCAAAGTAATCGCTTTTTCAAAGATATCTCAAAGAGATCTAATTAAATTCTGATAATTAAAAGTGATGTTAGATCGATCAATCGCGGTGCAAAGATAAAAGTAATTAGGATTAGAGAAATATTTTTGCGTTGAATTTCAATTCGTCCCGACGATGATGTTTGGTGTTGTTTTCACCATCGAAAGAATATGCCGATCTAATAATCACTGAGACGTTCGAAATACGAGCAAAAGACTGACAGAGGAACGAAAAGTTAACGGAGATCTAACGATTATTTCGAAATCATAAATCATCCCACCACGAAACCGGTTCCACTCGATTCATTGACGATTAACTGTATTTCCGATCAATGAGATTTTACTACAGAATTTCAATAGATCATTCAATAAGTCGTGTCCACGTTCATATCACGAATTTTCGAATAATTATTTCTCATATATTACAATCACTAAAACCTCTGAATAAAATGAGTGGAATTTCTGATCGATCGTTGAAAACTTGGTCTAAAGCTAAATATTCTCCTTCTTAATATAATAAATAATAAATGTAGATACTTGCTCGACGATAAAATCGATCCAGAATATTACTTATACGTACAAGATGAATTGGCTCGAAATTATATAGCAAAATTAATATCATCGGGTCTCGAGATAATTTCGCACATTGTCTTTCTACCTTCAGTCATCGTTTTAATTAAATAATTCAACGCATCGATATCTGATTACCTTCAATTTCAATGACTCTAATTGCGACTCTACTTGCATTAGAGATCAACGATAGTACGCAATGACGTACTATCGTCGATCGGCAATTATCGGTTGATATCGATCGGGAAATTAATTTCGTTGTAACTGGTCGTTGTGCCCGTCGTCGATAACGCATCACCGGCTAATAGAACAACAAAACGCGAGATATCGCTCATCTGATATCGATGGCCATGATCGTTATGAAAAGTGACGTGTCGGGATCAACGGCGATAAGATCTTTATTATGTTTAACGATCACCTGTGCACTTTGCCCGAAACAGGTTGGAAATGGCATCGTGTAAAAGGGGATTAATAAAGTATTTTTGATCGTGTCGCGTGCTGCGCAAATATTCGCGCAAATATTTTCATAGCTAAGTAAACGGATCATCCTTTCTTATGAATCCTCGTTATTGTACGCTCCTTCTTTGTGTTTGACGTGTTATTGACGTTATTAAATGACGTTGTTGCGCCAAGCCAAGTATTAAGAATTAATCCCCGAGATTGGCGTGGTGGGATCGGATAAATGCCAGCAAATTTTTATTTTTATTTACGATTCGAAATATTCAGGCAAATGTTGATCTTTTTCGTTTTTAGTTTTTTTTTTTTTTCTTTCTTTTTGTCGGAGAATTTAAATAGTTTCCGGATAAAGTAATGATTATTATATCAATGAAAACTTTTTAATTGTCTTTTAAGTACTTTATGTGCATTTATTCCGACAAAATGATAGGCATTTAATGATTAAATTATTAGTTGAAATAGCAGGGTTTAAATATGTTGCAAGTTGTTCATCGTATTTTGGTAATCTTGTTAAATAAATAAAAATTAAGTTAGATTTAGATCAGACTCTTAATTTAAGGAACTGTTGTTTAGATCAAGTTCGGAAACAAATTTAGTTCAAGTTTGAATTTGCAATTATTTTCTACCTCGCCTTTCAGCAATGGCAATCGAATAACTTTAACTTCAATTTATTTCACAACTTCACGAGTTTGATTCTAATCTAATCTAATCTAAAATCTAAAACAATCCAACGTTCGTATAAATTTTCTACGCGTAAAAAAAAAATAGTTGTACTTTACTCAACTTGATACTTCCTTTTGTAGAAGTATGACGAGAAACCTTTTTTTTTTTCCCCCAGCAATTTGTAAAAATATTTTTAAAACACTCGAGTGTGTTCGCACTCTCGTAAAAAATTCATGCGTCATTGAGTTAACCAATTTTTTTTTTTTTTTTTTTTTTTTTTTTTTGCGTCACGAGTCAATTCACGAACGACGAACAAAAATTTTCCAAGTAAGAACGTCGATCCAGAGGTGTACAGATTAACACCATCAGGAAACAACACCATGAACGAGAATCGCGATGGAACAACGATGGCGTTTCGTACGTGTTCCCTCGGACAGAGGAATCTTGTACAGAGGAAGTTGTACATTTTGAGCAACTTCGATTGGAGAATTTATTATGTATGAACGATTTCAAAGAATTAATTAGAAACGAAATTCCGCAAATAATTAAATGCAAACGTATTCAAGGGGCCCGAAGTTGGCCGAGCTTCTACCGTGCAACATTCTTGCATAATGATAGCCAGAAAAGCAGAACCGATTGACGTCTTATTACATAATCCGCGAATGGAATTCCGGATCGCAACAAGTAGCAAGGCGATACAACTTTTGAATCGAATAAACATTTGATATGTACGGTTTACTTCAACTTTGCTACAATATTTTAATTAAAACCGAAAAATCCCTTTAACAATTTAATTGAAGAATTAAGAACGGAACGATCGTTTCGTAAATTTGTTACGTAAATGTATCGTGTACAAGGTGTAAAAACAATTGAAAGAAACTAATCTAAATGTTTTTGTTTTTTTTGGTCGTAGAAGAAGGAAAATCGTGAAAAAAAAAAAAAGAGGCATTTATCGCAATATTTTTCTCAGAGCAGATAAAGAAATATATTCGACCATTTCAAAAACAAATAAATTATCTAAAGTGCCATTTTAGTATTACGTAAAATGAAATTAGTATTAAACGAAACGTAGAACAGTTACAAAAACATGTTGCAAACAAGTTGTTCTGCAATTTAACCTAACCTAAATATTCTAATCATAATTTGAAAATTTGTAAGAGCATAATTGCATAACAATTTTATTCTTCGATAAGAAATTTCTTTGAAAATCGACCAACTTTTAATTTTCATCATTTTTTCCATCCCTTGAATACTTTTCAAGACAACAACCTATTAATACCTTCGCGACTGTCATATAAAACACAATTTAATCTCTAAGAGCAATAATACGAAAATAAGATATTGGAAAATATTATTCAAAAAATATCCAACACTCGAACATTCGAACATCGTCGAAATTCAATTTCTCTTAATTTCTCGATAGACGAGGAAGATTTCGAGCGGTGAAAGAAAAGACATCTGGTCAGAAAGGGAAAGGGGCCGTAAATTACAGCAATTGTTTTTACAGAACAGTTTGCGGGTTGGCCAGGATCGACAGGTCGATCGTTGGCGCAGTTGGCTCGTTCCGGCCGGGCCATTCGGGGATTTGACTCGTTTATTTCAGGAGGGGGCCCGAGTTTCGCGGCTCGTTAGCACACCCGGAAAATCCGCAAACAACCGCGCTCCAAACTTTTCAGTCGCGATTAATTCCCTCGGAAACCCCGACTCTTCCACTTTCTTGCTCCGCTTTCGCGGTGTATCGATCGCTGACACCGCGAGAAAACGTCTGCTAATGGTAATTCTTCTCCTAGTTGTAATTCTCCTCCTCCGCTTGGTTATTTCGAACCAACTTTGTTTCTTTCCCTCGTTCCCGTCCACCAAAATGTGTCCGTCGCTTAATGGCCGCGCTATATTTTACGAGTCGCATTCAAAGAAATTCCCTGCTTTTTTTCTATTCGTTTTCAAGTTCGTGTTCACGATGCGTTCTTCGTGGACACACGAGTGTCCATACCACGTTGGCGTGGATCCCGAAGAGACGAAGTTGATTGGTCGTCGATGATAGGATTATTGATCGTATCGATATATGAGATATGGGAATGTGAAGAGATAGCGACGTAGCTAACTATTGACGCCATTTCAAATAAATAAACGACGTTCCATTAGTTTCAAAATAACGATAACGTACGGTATCGTTGATGGCTCGATCTGATAAGTGTTTACCGAAACACTTTGTTTTTAAAAATAATATTTACGAAAGAATGTTAGATTAGTAATTTGAAATTATTATATAACATTCTTTTGCCCCGTAATGAAATGGATACAATAGAACTTTAATATAATTGGATAGATTCGTATACGATATCTGTCAATTGTCTACGTCATTTTTAATTTTTTCAAATTACTATGCATTCCTTGTATTGTGTTACGTTCGTTGTTTTCGTTTATAGTAGATGTTCGTGTAATTGCGACCGACAGTTCAGCAACACTCGGATAACTCGTGTCTATATTCGATCGAACAAAAATTATTATTACCCAATATAAGTAAGATAGAATTTGATATAAATAAGAATCATGTCTTTCGTTTTTCAACTTTATCCGTTCCAATTTTCAATTCGTCCCACTATCTCACGGGGATCCAAAGTTTGAAGAAGGCAAACAATTTCCACTTCGTTTTCTCCTCGATTCTCGACCACGGTACCACTCCACCTCGGGGACAAAAGGTAAACATCTATACCAGTCGGCCAACAAACGCTAAATTCTCGATGGAAAACTGTAATTTGGAATCAGCTCACGCACACGTACCTATCTAAAACGAGGAGAAAGAAATTTGATCGAACGATATAGAAGAAACGAATATCTACTACCTCTAATTTTCATCCATTCTCATCCCTCCAATTCTCGCCTACCATTTCGTTATTATATTAGTTAACGATGCTCGCAGCGACTGTCGTCCATTTATAGAATAATCTAGCGATGCCGCGTAATTCCAGCTTTAAATACCGTGAAAAATGAGTTACGACAAGAAAATTGTGTAAGCCCGCAATTATGTAAATAGACGAACACGAGAATGGAGATATATATATATATATACATACATACACACCGACCTCCCTCGTTCTTTTATCAGCCCTCCGCGCCTTTCTTCCTCCTCATTTTTCATATCATGGTGCACCTACTGGGAGAATGGAGGAGATAAGGAAAGGGGGAGAGGGTTACGGGGGCGGTAACAGTGACAACCGAAAGGTGTCGTAGACTATTGAAAGAGAAGGTTGAAAGAGTATTGCGAGACAATATGCAGCGAGTAGGTGGCCAAGTGAGAACACGTGGGCGACTGCTATGGCAAGGACGTTCCTAACTGTCGCGGTTTCGTTACCAGCTTACCGTACGTATATATTACTAGAACGTGTATATATATATATATATATACGTGTTTCGTGCTGTGTTTCACGTAAGATGGGTATTTCGGGATGATTTATTTTTAATTCTCGGAAAATAGATTTAATTTAATCAGGATATTATTCGAGTAGAGTAATTGAAGATTTTTAATGATTCACAAGGAGGAAAATTCGTTTTTGATTTCGATTTTCGAAGTATTGTATTATAGTTAAAAAACAAATGTGTGATGCAAGAATCTTAAAGAATCTTAAAGATTCTTTCATCACGAGGAGGAAAATTCGTTTTTGATTTCGATTTTCGAAGTATTGTATTATAGTTAAAAAACAAATGTGTGATGTAAGAATCTTGAAGAATCTTAAAGATTCTTTCGATTAACGAAACAACGACCAATAAATTATATTTCATTGCCTATTGTTAACCAAAAAGTAATCATTTCGCTTGACATTTTTCTTGACGCAAACCAAAGATATATTTCCAACTTCGAAAAAATTCGTCGAAAATTGAAATAAAAACTATCGCGACAAAGGAGGAAATCGCAAGTTCTTTCGTCGAATGCGTAATTTAAAATATCTACAAGATTTCTAATTACTTATCCACAACATCCCTAACCTATTTCTATTATCCAAGAATTATCGAATAATCCCATTAACATCTTCGTCGCTCTACTCTATCATTCGTCGTCGTAGAACTGAAAATTCAGCGACACGTATTTCCAATAACACTCGGATTACCATAACCGTGCAACACACCTAAAACCGCACACCTTTCCCGCCTTTCAACTTCAACAGCAACAGTTCGAAAAATCGTGCTCGAAATTCGATCACCGTGCACACCGGGTCGGTCGATTGATGATCGAGCTTCGAAGCATGGGCGTAGGCGCGAAAATCCTTGGCTCTCGATAACGACAAGTCGAATATCGAAGGGACATCCGGTTGATCCCCAAGTTCATCCTCGCTGATCGGCAGAGAATCCGATTGGGCGTCGCTTCGTCAGAATCCGATCGCATTTGCATACAATCGACCGTTATCCGGCTGCAGGCCGTCTAATTTGCATGGTGCGTCGTTGCTATCGTCACAGTGGCGTGTTGATGACCGAGAGACGGAACCATCTTTCTGTCCCTCCGGTGGAAAAGATCGGGGCTCTCTTCGAAAACGACACCCACGCTCTATCAGAGAGCAACGTGTCGCTTCATTCTTTTTCTTCTTCTTGTTCCTCTTCGCTTGGACCTTCTTCTTTTTTTCTTTCTTTTCAACCGATCCGTCTATTCGATCGACCAATTGGCGATCCAAGGTTGATCCAAGGAGTGACGTCAAAAGCGAGCGTGTCCTCCATTCTTAAAGCGAATCATATGGCGAAGTAGAGATAAGAGAAGAGTTGACAAAGTGGTTAAACGATATTGCTCGGTTTTTCCCCTCGATAGGATTTCGAGTGGTCACGCTTTTGCACACGGATGCAACACAAGAATGGATTTATTCTCGATGATTAAGGTGTCTTATTTTTTTCATATCCGGATTTTTTGATCGATGATTAATAATTATTTATGTATGGCTTTAAATGTGATCCGCATTCCTGTTCATAAGTAATTGGATACTTAACAATTCTACAATTCATTAATCGGATTATATTAACCGCTTGTGTGTAAAGAAATATCATGTTATCTTAATCTAATTTAATCTATCTTAATGATAAATTTACTCGAGTTTATTAAAGTCTACTTTAATCGGCAACGTTGTGAGAAGCGTAAAAAAGAGGAATTTATATATTGTTATTGTATCAAGATACGAAAAAAATATATGGATTTCTTCCATTTAAAAATAAATTGCGGTATCGTAAAAACTTTCTCTATTTCAAATATACGTATCAAGACAAAATAACAAATTAACGTTAGCCATTAACAAGGGATCTAGAACCGACTTTGTTGCAAGGTCGGACAATTATCGTGTCACGATATTCCCCCGTTTAAGAAAAAAAAAGAAAAAACGTCTCTCAGATTTTTAACTACTAATAACCGTACAAAAACCGGGCACACTGAATAATCGTCCGATATATCAAATAAATGGGAAGCAATTTATCCCAAGATTTAAAATTCGCAAGAAATATCCAGATATAAGCTCGTCCAGGTCATCATTTTCGTATCCACCCGGGCAGTACTCGCAACTTTCTTCCATATTTGAAATAGCAACCGGTTTATCCGGTATATATCGAAAAAGGTTGCAACGATCGTCGAAATAATTCAACTTGGAAAATAATCTCTCCCGTTCTTCCCCTCCAAGTCACCATATCATCGAGAAGTATGCATCGTTTCGCGATGGATCGGAAACGAAACGTGGAAACGGATATCGTTGTTCGATAATTAATAAAAAATAGAAACCGGTGAAATTCGGATTTCTGTCGGAATCGTGGTCGTGTCGAGTCGGCATTTCGAACCGATTGGAAACCGAGACGCGGTGAAATTCGCGACGAAATTGGAGTAGGAGCGCTATCGCGACCGCTCGCATGCGCGCCTCGAACGTATCTGTACAGAAGTGAAAGTAGAAATGTGTATAGAAAGTGACATTACACGGGAACGAATACAAATCATAAAGGTAAACACAGCCCGCAAATGTTCGTTTCGCGTGGTTTGCCCGTTCCGTAAACAAAACAAACGGGCCTCGGTTAATATCTTATCGGTCTCGTGTCTCGTTGTTGTGCGTACGTCGTTGATAACGTATCGTTTCCACGGCTGATACGCATTTCGTATTCACGACGTTCACGACAAAGAGATCCCGTTTCCCGCTGGTCATCGGGAAGGAAAAAGCTTCGTTTCTTTTCGCACCTGTTTCTTTGTCGTGATTCACAGACACAATGGAGAAAATGGAGCATCAAGCATCGAGATAAACCAAAGATAAGTAACAATTTTTTACGATTCTAAGCGATAAAGAGTGGCACGAACGACTTTCGATTTGTTGAACCTGATTTAAAATCTTTATTATCATTCTTGCGTGGTCGTGCTAACGCGTATGGAATGTTCTTTTAAAAACATTAGATTCCTTGAAAAGTTTCTAAAGGTTGGATAACGATATCGGATATCTCTAATATCGTTACCTTACCCGTCGATTATATAAAAGAACCATTTCCATTTGCCCTTATTCTTTATCTCTGCCATTTTTCCTTTCCTCCTTTGAAATTAGTTCATTCGTTCCACCTTTCAAGAGTAATTCTTTCTATTTCGCATCAGCATCACGCGAGTCTCTAATCTTTCCACCGATCACCCTTGTATTCCCCTTCCCGTTGTTCGAAATCGTTTTCACGGATAAACTCTCTCTTTCTCTCTTTCGAAGAAGAAGAAGAAGAAGAAGAAGAATGATTCGTAGAAAATTTGCAAGATGCGTGGAAAAATTTGATTTCCACAAGGAGGGTGTACGATCGATGGTCGAAAATTTGATCCGAGACTCGTCGAAACGAGGTTAGACCTCGGTGGAAAGGGATTCGTTTCGCATCCGGTGAACCAAACCGGAGTCTTCCGCCCCCGCAATCGAGTTTGCGCCACGATACTGTATATGCATGAGATTTTCCAATATTTTATTTCGTTTATCGGTTCCGTGGGCGCAAAGATTGTGTTTGTTACGAGGAAGAGAAGGGAGGGGGAAGGACCTGGTCGCTTTAACATCGACCCTTCGCCCCTGCCGGACCGTCGAGTGAACGGAATTATCGAGAATTTTCTCTGGAAACGGAGAGAGAATTTTGCGTGAATATATGTATATATATGTTTAAATATTATTCGAATGGAAAGCAAGGTGGGTTTTGGTTTGGGAAATATTCTCTTTATGGAGACTAATTACCGGACCCCGTGGACAGTTTTTGTAATCCGTGCGATCAATATCTAGGGGGGAATAAAAAGCAATCGGCACGAGAGATCGCTTCGAGCGATGAAACGAGAAAAACCGGAGATTATTTTAATTTTCACCGATCGTACACCAATAATTCATTAATATGGATACATAATTGCAAATGCGGAAACCGCGAAGCTTATCGTTGGCCGATAATAAATTTACATCACGATTGTATATACCCGTGGCCCCGTAAATATTTCATTAATAATCCTCTTCGATAATGAGTGTCTCGTAAAATACACAACTGACACGAGAATTGCCTCAAGATAATCAACGGCGACACGTGCCGTAGATGTTTACGCGATTCGATTTCTGCAAGCGCGTCTCATTTTTCAAGCGATCAAAATAGGCGAGGGTTATTAACATATCCATGAAAGATTATGATGCATGCTTATTAAAATATATAAATATATATAAATGGAAGAAGTTGGCTCGATTAAATAAACCTCGAGCGAGATAGTTTCTCTTCTATTTGAAATATATAATAAAATTGCTTCGACGAAGATTTGAAAGACGTGCTATGAAAATAAAATAAATTTAAAAAAAAATGACGATATCGACTTCTTTGAATATAGAATTTATTAATTTTTCGACCAGCTGCTTCGGACAAATTGTGAAAAATTCGTATAAAAAAAGGTACGTGATTCATACTGAATATTTAAACGTTTTCAAATACGAAAAAATGAATCGAAAATTAATAATTTTTATATATACTATTTACATTTCGCACAATCATTCGAATATTTTATTTATTATTTATTTATTTATTCGTTATTTATAGCGTACATCTGTAAATTCACGAAGAATCTATATAACAAAAAAAAAAAGAAAAAAGAGAGAAAACTCAAAGAATATCATGGAGGTATCAAGATTGTTCGACGTATGACCATTATTAGCAGATAAGAAAAAGAAATCGAGAGGAAAACGACGAGGCACAACAAGAATGGAGAAAGAATCGAGATGGTGGAATATTTCGGTGGAAGGCGACGAGAGATCGGTCGCTTTTTCTTATAAATTTCGACCGTGTTACATCACAGAGTGGATTTAGCTTCTGGATAATTTATCCCGATCGAGTCATCGTTCCTTTCTCTTACAGTCGCCGGTTGTGGGTCGATCTGGTGCGCCACGTCACTCGTTGGAATTAATTTTGATATAAATACCTCGTTACATCACGAACTTACTCCAATTATGGGAAAGTAGAATTTTTCTTTTAAATTTTTTTTCCACGCGCAGGAACGCGAAAGTTGTGCACCGATTCGGATGACATATCAATCGTTGCAATTAATTTTGCAATAGGTACACGTGTTAACGGCGTATATAACTCGAACGATGTTGAAGTGACAGTGCCTCTTATTCACCACGCCGTAGAGAAGGATATGTCCTAGTTTTGAATGAAGTTTGTTCATATATACCAGGTGAGCAAAAGACATGGAGCATGAAGTTTAATTTCAAACGAGATATATATATATCGTAGAAACACGAATATTTAATATTTAAGTTGAATTCATTGTGTTTAGGAATGCGAAATATCACTTCAACGAAGAAGAAATTAAATATTAACATTGTAATTTTTAAGTATTTATCAATCTTCTTTCCGACAATCTGTCTTAATTCAAACTGTTAATACATTCCAGAAAAAAAGAAACTATTTTCGAAAGTATTTTTTAAAACACACTTGAAGATAGATTGACTCGAGGTCCAACTCTCATTGATTCTTCCACGAAGTCCATATATATTACATTTATAAAAAAAAAAAATCGAATACCAATAAAAATATTAATATTAACACCTGAGCAATAAGTACAATAAAACAGGTAAGCACACAAAACTTGAAAAAAAAAAAAATGTTTCATTTCTCGATAAAATTAAACGATATTTCCAGCAAAAACGTTCAGCAAATGGACAACGTCGTTCGTCGGAATTGCGGCCAGTTTTCCAGTTACAGAACTGGTCCAAATCCCTTTCCCCCCCCTTCCCTTCTACGACGACAATTACCGGAAGAGTTTATCGCGGGGAACGGCGAACGAAAGCAAGATTCTCCCCCTCGGGCGCGGCTGCTCTTCAAAGGGACACACGGGGAGGAGGGGGAGAGGGTTGGAAAAAAAAAACGAGGGATAAGAAACAGACGTTTCCTTTGTTTACCAAGGAACGCTTTGTTCGTGGCCCCGGGCGAGGCGGGAGAGGAGGGTATGTTTAATTTTTCGCACGCAAACCCGGTTCACCCGGGTTGACGCGAGACGCCACTCGTGCCATGCTTGAAATTCTCGTCACAATGGTGTTTGCTCCAGGTTCGCGGCCGAACATTCGCGCTGTTTCCTGGCTGCATTTACCCGATGTCAGAAAGGGTTAATTAGCATGTGGGAGCAATTGCATTTTGTACCGAAGAAGGGTGAGAGGATTTGTTTGAACTTTTCGTTCAAGCCCCCTTCAACTTGTGCTTTTGCGAACGGGAAAGAATTTTCTCGTCCCCGCAGAATGGCAGAATTTGATCAACGTTTCACTCGTTCGTACGAGAGAAATAGAACAACGATTAGAAATAGAAAATTATTATATTTATTATAAGAGGAGATCCAACTACCATCCCCTTCTTCTCCCTCCCAGAATATTAACATATTTCGGTTGGAGAGAAAGTCCAAGTCCCTGTCAGGAAGGAAATCACTATCGTGGTCCAATTGCTTTCGATCTCGCGACGAATGGAGGGGTGGAGCGGGGCATCGTCCAGGCATTTCGGGAATTTTGCCAATTAAAATCGACGAACGGGAGGGAAAAAGGTTGGGTATTGGCCGATCGGCCCCGAGGCCCTCTCCATGTAAACGGTACTCATAGGAATGTCCTTGGGCGCGGCAGTTTCGCTAATTGAAATCGATTACGGGGGGCCCGGGGGCATCGTTTTTCCATCGCTTTTCACCGCCCGCGCCCCCCAAGGAGGAGGAGGAGGAGGAGGAGGAGGGAGAGTGCACAATTACCCGGGGCCACTCGCTTCGCTGCTTCCCGGATATTCCCATTTTCCGCGGAGAGTGCTCCTCGCGCGAGTTTACGTCCGATCCACGAATCGACTCCTGTTTTCCTCCACCTTGGAGGCGAAGGGGACATCTGCCACGGCCACCTCTCGTCACCGCCTCCTCCCCTCGATACGAGTCGTTCGATTAAGGAGAGGAGGGAAGGTGGAAGAATATGTCTGGTGTGGTAATGGTAGAGGATGAATATTATTGGCGTAGTTATTAGTAGTTGGCGAAGCAGAGGGAAGATTGTTGATTTTTGGAAGAAGAAGAAGAAGATTTGGTGTGGTGATCGAGATGAATATTATTAGTTGAGAAAGTGGAGGAGAGAGAAGAGAACAGATAATTGAAATGAATATTATTATTATATGGATAGTAGACATTGGAATCGACAAAATTATATCGAAATTTATTTAGAGATATAAATGATGCTTGAATTTCGACAGGCACTTTTTAAAAGAAAATCAATTTGTTCTTAAATCATGTTCATTTCGAAAATGAACTTTGCGGATTCTTTTTCAATAGATAGAAGGTAAATGATGAATGAAGATGATGAATCACGTTTTAATAAGTCAAAAAAAAAAAAAAAAAAAGAATAATCAGATATTCTTTAAGAATTTCGTCAAAGTATATCAATCTCGAATGTGTCGACGTAAAAGTAATATCTATATCGATCACAATTACTCATAGAGAACGATTATTTGACGGCAATCATTCGACCAATATAATACACGAAGACCATTTCGTGGCGAGTAGACCATAATCATTCGAAAAGGTTAATAAGTCTTAACTGTTCATTAAAGGTTTCCTTTACGAGAAGTGCTTTCCTAATTGGGTGGCGTTAGAACCAAGATCAATTAGAAACGGTCTTTAACGAGAATTTAAGTGGCCAATTCCCCCCATCGCCTTTCTACAATATTCAACAACCGTGTCGCCAAATAGTGCAATTTAGTTCGCCAATCGTCACACCTCAATTTCTCGACAAAATAATAAAAATCAATCTTTCCCTCTCTCCCCAAAAAATACCACAGTTTAAAAATGATATAATCATTAAAATTTTTCAAAATTCAATTTTCAGGCAGAGAAGAAAGTATATTTCGATAGATATATTCGAAATTCATATCTATCGTGCACTATTTTGAACGTGAGGTGTGCGGTGTGATCTCTCAAGCAGTATCGATTCTTATTGTTAGTGACAAAGAATCACGGCACGTACAAGCACATACAATTCTATCTAAAAGAATCGAATGATTACTTGAGCATCGAATTAAAAATACCAATGCTTCCAATTCTATCCTTCTTTCTCACAATTTCTCAACTACGACAAATGTATTATCATCATAACATTACTAACAACCTATATCATTTACGATACATCTTTCGATATACCCTCCAAGACAAGACAACGACCCCTTCGATATATCCATATTCGATGTATCTCAAGGCTGTCCAAATTTTACAATAAAAAAAATATCCCTTCCTTAACGATATGAAAGATCAATCGAACTTTCTTCTCGACGAGACTATGGAAAAAAAAAAAAAAGAAAAAACAGATCTTTCCAAATAAATACTTGACCATCGAGTCGCCAGAAAATAATGAGAAAAATATCACCGATGCAAGCGAAAATGGGGACGAACGTTGAGGCAAATATCGAGGGGGGAGGAGGGGGTTAACCGAGGCAATTACACGGAACAGCGCTTTATCCCGCTAACCTTATCCAGGACGCGGGTGCTTTTCGAGCCGTGGTTGACTCGACAGAGCAACTGGTGTCCAATGACGGGGCGCAAAGGCGAGGACCTCTTGAATGTACTTACATTTTGAACCTTACATATGCTCACCTTCTCGAGCGACCCATCGTCGCGGTAAGCTCTCTCCGCTTCCTGTACACCGATAGCTCGTGTGCCTGACAAATAGACGCGAGCCCGCCGATGTGTGTGGGTGTCCTCCTCCACTCGACTACGTACGCGTTTACACACCGATGGAACCAGAGATGGAAGAGAGAAAAAGAGAGAGAGAGAGAGAGAGAGAGGGAGAGGGAAGGTGGTTAATCCGCACATGTGTGATGACAATCGTGAACCACCTGTTGAACGGCACCGATACCCAAGGCTCTCTACCTGGCTACAAAAGGAAGCCCCGAATTTCGATCGGACACGATCAAGTACTTCACTTTGTCCGACCTTCCCTCGATAACTCGCTCCGCTATCAATTAATCCCTTGTTTGCCTTGTTTCGAAGTTGAGTTTCGTTTCCCGTTCGATCGATGAAATTTCTTTTCACCCACTACTTTCCCATTGTTCCGGAACGATTCTTGATTTATATTTATTTCGATCGATATATCTCTTCGGAAAGAGAGATTTCTTTTTGATTTTGCTTTTTGAGAAAATTTTCTATATTCGCAAGTTTTCGTTCGGAATAATTTTAAAAGTTATTATCTTTATAAGTAGAATGATCGTTTAAAATCGGTTCAAACTGTTCCAGAAATGTATCGATTCTTGTACAAAATTTTTATATATAAAAGTTTCGTTTTATTATAAATTTCTTTAAAATTCTTGAAATTCTTCGTGACACAAAAACTTGAGTTTATTATTAAAAACTCGTAAATGTAGTTAAGTAAATTTAACGATAATTCTGAAAAAAAAAAAAACTATCAAGAAATTCAAAATCAATGTTTTAAAATTGCCTGTATTATTAAACGAATCGCAAACATTCATTACAAAACACTTATGAAAATTGACGTCATTGTGATAATCGATTCACGGTTGGAGAGATTGTGGCAATTTTGCAAGTGCGTCAAACGTGAAACCTTGGTCAAATTTGCCGTCACGGCATATCATATCTTCTGACATGTTGACATATCGAAGGTGAAAGAAAAACTTGCGAATACGAGGATCGAAATTACATATATATATATAGAAAACGAAAGCTTTTTCGTATCGAGAATAAATGAGAAGCGAATCCTTTTCCATTCGACCCGACTCATTTCTTTTTCTTTTTTTTTTCTTTTTTCTAACGAAACTTTCTTTTTTCTTTTTTTGAACAGATCCAAGAAGATCCACGGTAGATACAGATCGACGAGATTTTTTTTTTTCAATTTCGGCGACATCCTCGCATCAAGAGAACGAGGAAACGTGTCGGCGATAGATGTAAATCTATCCAGGTACATTCCTCGTCCACGACCGTTTGAATCTCATTAACACGGTGAATGTGAAGGTTATTAGCGAAGGTTTCCACCAATCTCCGCCAAGTTGTGCGACAATCGCGTTATGTAATCGACAGCCGGGTGATTAATGGGTGAATTTGTTGTGTCGGATCGATTGCACGATCGTCGAATTAAATGTCAAACCGAGCTCGGACAGAAGTGGTTGATTTCTCTCCGATCCTCGATTTCGCAATTGGCGCATCGCGTGCAATTTTACAGATTCGATTTCGTTTGATCGTTGGACATGACAATTGGAAAATTTCTTCTTCTCTGATTATTCGAGACACGATAATTCTTCCTAAAAAAAAAAAAAAATAAAAGAAAAGAAAAAAAACGTCACGAGCAATTTAAGAATCTGTTAACGACAAACGTATACGTTGGTTGTTAACGGATGGAAAATGCACGGGTATGGAAATAATCTGTATCATTTCGCACGCGAGTGTTGGAAGATAAATAGATGTATCCGCGGTGATTGCGCATACGTTCTTGAACCGCGATTTCGTGGCTGTCGCGATTAAAATGCGCTGGATTGGCCGCGCATGCATATACATGAGACACATAACAGTCGGTTGAATTACACGGAGAATTGACGCACGTTCCCGGTTTAAAACAAACGGCGTGACAATGGGCGAGAAACGCGGGGAACACGGGGGGGCCTCGTGGAAATTTTCGAGAGTGTTGCGTTTGGGACGTAATACGTAAGCGTACAATACGTTTTGGAGGACGATCGAATTTTATCCATCTCCATCATTTTTCCCTAGATTCGTTAATTTAAAATCGATTTAAAATCGACGTTCTAAAATTAGAAAATTAATGTAATTTTTGATATTTGGTTAATCGAGTAAGAAAGGGTCTTCATTTTGTATCTTGTATAACGTTGCTTTGTTTAAGTAGACATGTAGTATTAAGTAATCTCAGCAATTTCGTCAATTGGTAATGTGATGGCAATTTAATAGAACAGCGATTCTTTCCATATTTTTCCATATTTTTTGCCATACAATGTGTCTAATTCTCTTCTGAAAATCTACGTAAACAGAGAGATCATACGATTGCAAGATTGCCTTTCACGCATATCGTATTTCTCATATTTTCAAAGAACGAAAGTCATCAAATATATAAAAATACCGTCATCACGACTCGGTAAATATGATACATTGTACGAAGAAAGGAAAACAATACTTGTCCTCGTATACAAATTTGGACAGATTGGATCAGCCCGCGAAAAATATTGACACTTTCGGATTATTCCTATCGTTTATCCATTATAATATTGGGCAGAGGTGACAAAAGAAATTAATACGTCGCTTCGACCTCGACGTATCAACGGCCCAGTATCGCTGCGCATATAAGCTCGTACGTACGCACAGGTTGCATCAAGGAACACGTGCAACGTTGTTATCATCATTTTCTCACGGCGCGTACGCGCTCGATCCGTTATCGAGCGTGGCCTGGCGCCTTTTATGCGAACAGAGAATGAACCGACACATTTTCGCGACGAAACACGCGAAAATACCGTTGCTCTGTTATCGTTGGATCGTGCCGATGGCCATGTCTTCGACCTTCCTCGATTGATTACCTTTTTTGTATGGAAATATTAACCTCTTGAGTTAACGGATTTAATTAGAAGAAATTTTCCATGTGAATTTAATTTTTCTTTCTTCTTTTTCTTTTTCTTTTTTTTTTTTCTGTTGGTATACAAAAAGAGAAATAGAGAGAAATAAAAATTGGAATTAGAAATTATTGGACGGGTTGTGTTATCGATATATATTACATAAATGCAAATTGGCACGGGCATTTGCATTGTCAAGTAGTCTTGCTTCTAATTTAATGCAAATACGATAAACGCGACGCTTTGGCATATATTATTTGAAATCAATTAGTGATACAAGTGATTAAATTTGCAAATTCAGACAGAGTAAAGATTAAAGGTTAGCGATACGAATTTAGTAGTTCTATTCGGGTTATCTCGTGCTCGAGGATAATGGAGGCCTTTAAAGGCCTTTTTATGGTCGAACTGTTTTTCGATATTATACACGTGGAACGTGCAAAAGAGTGAACGTGTAAAAACCACCATTGCATTTTTCATTTTATCGCCGAAACGAAACGCGTCTTTGCCCCAAGGAAAGTTAATCTACAGGCAAAAGAAATTATATGGAATTAAGGAAGAGGTACATCCGAATTGACCCGGTAGCAAGCCAAGTAGCCGCCATTGATGATATAATAGAAACCGAAATAACAGGAACGCAAGCGTGTGTAAGGGGTGGCAGGTCGCTGAAAGTTGGACCGACACGCGATCCGGAAGTTTCGCCAAGGATAAATTACAGGCTATACGACGTAAACCGAGATTTTTGTCGAAAATATTTGTAATCTCGTGTATAGAAAGAAACGACACAAAAGAATCGGACGTGTTCGCGTGAACTCGATCTCTAATCACGCCAATATTTTTCTTGCGGTTTCGATAAAAGAAAAAAAAAAAAAAAAGAAAAAAGGAAGGACGAAGAAATATAATTGAAATATAAAGGGTATCGATCGCGATAATAATTTAATAAATCATTTTATCTTTTCGAAGATTAAAACGCAACGATGCGAGACGCAACGCGTATCGATACATCGGAGAGCAGTTTAAAGGATCTGTTGGATAGGGTTTTGCAAAGTGCAAAGATATTTCGGTTAACCATTACGCGAAAGGAGGGAAACGAACCGCGTTCCAGAAAACGTGGATTGGCCACCGTTTGATCGGTTTATATCGTGGCTGCGCAACGTGAAACAACCCGCGCCAGGGGGTTCTTTTGCTAAAATATACCGCCATGATCGCGGTAATGGCGCAAAATTACTGTATCGCGTTGTAAATTGCGCTCAACGGCGAAATCTGGCAATTTCGGATCGGATCGATAAGCCTTCTCTGTGTACTCGGTGTACTACTTGAAAACGAGCCTCTTTATCTCGAAATTGAAAACTTTGGAAACCTCTTAACGACACCGAAAAGCGGCGACAATCTTGATTACGTTAATGGTGTTAATGTTTCGTGAATGTTCACGGTGTAAGCGCGGTTTTCTTTTTAAGTTACATTCATATTTGAGACGTTGTATTTGAATTAAAAGCTCGTTTCTTAAAAGTAAAAATATCAAATCGCATTGTTGTAAAAAAATATTCTCAACTGAAAACAAGAAAGAATGTTAAAAATTGCTTTTACTTCTGAACGCTTCAAAACGGTTAACAGTTATTGAACACGTAAAATTGTTAAACCGATCCTATCGACTCGAAAAATGTAATAAAACAAAAAGAATTCGAAGCATATTCTTTTAAAACTCGTCAAATGTTATCGAATCGCACGAGAAAAGGGTTGTTTGACGTATATACGGATGCAAATAGGGAAAAGTGGAAAAAAAGCGTGGAATTAAAATACGCGACACACAGGCCCCGTGAAAATTCCTGTGTGTGGCATGTGTGCACAGGCTGCATGTGTCGTAATCAGTCCCTTAAAGGGGCCCAAACACGACGAGTCAATATTGGAGCAGTCTCGTTCCCCGCTCTCTATCGCGTTTCTCGACCTGTTTAATCAGAACGAGCAAGCGCGCGTCGCACGAATGGGCTCCACTGTGTCCCACGTTTCTTTCGTTTGTCTTTCATTTGGCTGGGCCCATCACGATGTCCGCCATTTTTGAAAAGACGATACAGATCGTAACGACAGGTTAAATTATCTTTTTGGATATACGAAACACGAATTGGAAATTTTTAAAATTCAGAGTGATTCTAGTAAATTCTTCAAGCTCAAGAGTGAGCTTTATGGTAAAAAAATCGAATGTTTGGTTTTCATCTTTCAATGAAAATCACGTCGAATGAAGTGAGTTTAAAGTGTTTGAGTGTCAATTTTATATCGTAGCATATCGAAAATGCAAACTTGGAATGAATTTAGGAGAGGAAAACTTGTTGTTAGTTAAGATTGAGACGGATATATTTTTTGATATTATTTCGCAAGAGCAAGTTGATTAAAAGTTGACAGAGGCGACGAAGCGGTTCCATACAGCGGACGTACAGGAAAATAAGGCAAAAATTCGCGATAACGAATATGTGGTAACCGACGCACGCCTGTTAAATCTTTACGCGCGTAGATTATTCAAACTTTTCTTAATGGCCTCTCACGAAATGCCACGACCTTAATCACCGCTATATAATTGCGCCACCTCCTCGTTCAACACAAATATCTTGCCATCTATGGAGCTGTATTTCAAAATGTATTTCTTCCTTCACCCTTCCTCTTCCTCCCTTCCTTTTTTCACATCTCTTTCTCTTGTCTTCCTCTTCGTCCTTCCCCTTGTCTCGACTTAACCGCTATTAATCACATCCCCTCCAATAATTTGTCTCGTTCGTTCAATGATGGAACGAGTAGGAAACGGTTACGGTTATAAGTAAATACAGAGTGTTCCAAAAAATGACAGGAACGTAGAAAGTTAACTAGAATTTTCTGAAGTAATTTCAACTTTTTTTGACTTTTTCCTTTGCAAAAAAAAAAAAAAAACCTTTCTTTTTATTGGCCAATCATCGAGGACGTAAACTTATCGAGCCGTAACTAGGAACGTGGATTAATTTTCATTTCAGTTTTGTTAAGAAAAAAGAAAAGGAAAAAGAGATACTGGCCAATCACGGAGTAGATTTATTTACGGAAAATAATCGAGTCGAATCCGGTTGCAAAGGAGGGAGTCGAACGCCTGTTTGGCGCCATTCCTCGTTCCTCTATGTAGTTGCCGCAATTACAGGTGGCGCTTGGCGCAGGATGGCTCGATTGGATTTTAAATAACAAACATCGCTCGCTTCCTGCGCCTCCGCTTTGCGTATCGTGCGCTAATGACGCTCTAATGACACGCTAATGGCACATCGGCACGCCTATTATCCCGGATCCGCGATAGCCTCGCCAACCCTCGTGTTTTCCTTATTTTCTTCCTTTCAACCCCGCTCCTCCTCCCGCTCCTCCACCGAGTAAATAACTCGACGATAGGATGTCATTATTATTCAGTATCTGAAAGTTTTGTTTTACCTTCCTCTCTCAATTTGTCTCTCCTATATTTCACGCTTATCCGAAATTTTCTATTATTATTTTGCTCTCGAAGAGCGCACCTATTTACTTTTTTTTATTTTACTATTTGATTATTTGGCAAAAGAAAAATTCCAATTTATTACGATGTTGTATCTACTTTCAATAAAACATTCCTTTTTGATATAAAAATTTCATAGTTACATAAATATATGGCGGTGTAAATTTTAATTAAACAGAAAATGGATTTTTAAAAATCCCACTAAAAATATATTACGTAGCTTCTTTTCTCAGAGAGTATTACCTAAAAAATTATTAACAAGAATTATTATTACAAATATAATGGTGCACTCTTTACAACCTTCATGAATAAGAAAGAAAATCAATTTCCTCGAAATTCAATGAACGTAATCAAATATGATCAAACACGCGTAAAACATGTGTGTATTAACTTCCGTTTCTCCTGTTTCCCGTCCCATTTCGTATCCTTCTTCTGGCACGAACCGCGCCATTTTCGAATATTTCCACCCTTCCCTCGTGGCGCAAAATCCACGGATTAGCGTGACTTGGAATGTCGAGTAACTGTTATTGGATTACAGGGTGACGTAATTAAGGGAGCCGATAGAAATAAATCTTTTGTCTCGGCCAATTGGATAATTTGTGACGTACGATCCGCGGCTATCGATTCGATTTTATTACGGTTCACCCGTGTCCCCGTGGTTATTCTCGGATTTGTTTAGGCGATGCTCCCCTTCGTGTTTATCCCGATGGCGTAATGAGTCCAGGAAGGCATTTCGCCGTTTCCGGGCGTAAATCTTTCTTTTATGAGAGGGAACAGACAATTCGGGAACGGTTGGAAGCTGTTCTTCTGGCGGACATTGTTGTAAATTTCATCGTGTACTTACTTTATGGAAAGGCTAATCGTTTAATTATATTTCTTGGGGAAAGTCTATCTAAATTAATCTTAATTATTGATCATTCATTG